TCTATAAAAGGTCGCTGGGCGTTAATGAGTTAAATTATAGCCTTTTAACATGGGGCGACTTAATTTATTTAATAGACATCTGTATCGTAATGGTTTGGTCAACATTTTCCAGATGGCGCGGCCCTGGTATACTGGATAATTATACCTTTTAGCATGCTAGAGATGTCGCCCTAGTGCGATAAACATAATCTAATTTAATACCATCTGCTTAACGTAGCTCCCTATTGTACAGTAAACTGTTTTCTAGCTGGTGTTTAGGTTCACGCTAGGAGGTTGGCACCTTTGGGACAGTTTTTCGTTCTAAAATTCAAAAGTAAATAGTTCGATCGTTTGTTGTTTTCAAAACTACGGTTTATGTTATTATTTCGTTACTTTTGAAACCGTGTTTGAACGTACTACCGGTTTTCTACGATGCAGGAGCGATTCAAAGTGTCTCGGGCACAAGAGACAAATAATTATAATAGTTTTAGTGATTCCCGAGACGAGGGGACTAACTTTAACAGTTTCAGTGCCGCTACAGATGATGAGCGAGCGAAAGAGAAGCTATTACCCCCCAGTCTTGCTCCAGGTAAGCCTAGACACGAAATATTGTGCTTTATTTACATGTTTTGTCACCCTTAAAAGCCGTCCTTGGCGCGACAATAAAGGGGTTCACACAAACGCTCAACACAAACAATTTACTTTCAGGCAAAAGACTGTTGACCCTACAAAAAACGGTTCATTGATAGTAAATTCGTCGGACAACAGACTTACATTCCAACCGCCTACGAATATAGCAAAATATTTAAAATAATGCTTATCAGAACTCCATAAATAAGCATTCGCAGACGTTTCATAGTTATACTTTACGAGAGACACTAAGTTTCTAGGAGTCGGTATTTCGTGAGAAATGCAAAAATGTAACAGACTTTTTTCGCACATTTTTGCGTTGTGGGAACTTGAGAATTTATTTGTCACTACCTATTAATTGATTACGAATTTTTTAGTTAATTATCGGCGATATTAGAAAAGTTTTGCAAGGCAATTTAAAATTATTGGAATTAACAGATCAGTCCACTACTGTAATTTTGCCGTTTGCGCCGCAGAGGGTTAATATCAGAAATGAGAATGTTGAGATTTACAGGTTGCGCCTAATCGGTCGAAGGCCGAAGCCGAACTGCCCCAATTCGCTATTAAACGAAAAGCCACAGAAAGGATCCAGAACTTTATTTTGACAAAAGTTCTTTAGCGAAATGAAAAAAATAGGTAAACTGGTTAATACATTTAAATGGCCGTTAATATATTTAATTCTTTACATTCACATGTACACAGTTGCTACATGAATGAACTGAAATTCAAATCAACTTAAATTAAAATTACATGGCTTTTTCGCAGCAGAAAACATCTTCTAGTATGTCATTGGTCAAATTTTGGAACGCCTTGAAGGGCACTGAACTTTACTGAAATAACCTACTGACTTCTGCAAATTGACCATTTTATCGTTTCAAATTAGGTACCAAGAAAAGTAGTAGTATGTATTCTGGTCGTATGCTGATATATTATCGAAAAATTAGACCGCTTTTGTAGAGAATTACTAACTACAAAACACAATTTTTCGAACCTTTATGCGAATATCAAATAGTAAAAAACCACATACCCAAAATAGTAAAGAACACAATAACCGATAAGAGTTTGAGATAAGCAAACTCCATCAACGTACACAGACGGTGATTCAAACTGAAATACAATATGATTTATGGACTGCACTTTTCTGATAAATAACATTTCGCCTTTGTTCCAAAACAAATGTGCCATTTAAGCACAAATTGTGTGCAATACCCGCTGAATATGTGATGCTTGGAATAGTTTTAAACCAAAAACGTTCATATTGATCTACGAGGCGTTTACTTACACCAGCTGTAATGGCGTGGGGTGTACAAATTGTTCAGTCTACCGTCCAGACTGATCGCTCTACAAAGTCCCAAGGGCCCTATTGTAGATGGAATACCCTATATGTTATACAATTTTTGAATTCCTTGATAATGCTGAAAACGAATCGTTTTTGGGGCATTTTAAATTCTAGTCAAAAATATCATTTGAAGACTCAAAAAAAGTTTTTCCTATGAGAAGAAATTATTTCTTATTTTGGGACCGAGTCCTTATTCGAAAACAGTTACTTCATTATACGTTTTATAACAGTTTGATTTCCGTTAATCCAGACTAGGTACTAAAAATAAGTTTAAGATTGAAATTGAAAAACCCCATTTTTTTTAGATAGAAACCCGAAATATCAACAATTTTATCCCATTTAATATTCAAAATAGAGTAATTTTATGTGAAGCTGCCTATTCCAAAAATGTTTCGCACAGCGTTTCCTAGTTAGCCCTGTGGAAAATGCCCATGCTGAAATAGTCAGTTAACCTTAAAAAAATTATTTCATAAGTATTTAAGGTATTTCAAGAACATGTAAAAGGTGTGTTATATGGGCTATCCGCAATAACAGAAGCCTCGTGCTGCTTAGCAAACTATACAAAATTTAAATAAAAAGGAAATTAAATGTTAGCCGTCTTCTCAATCTTTTCAGTTATTTATCGATTTAAATTAATATTCATTGGAATATTATAAAAAGTTTTTCAAGAAAGCATTTTTGACTCCAGACGCCTTGCCAATGTAACGAAAACTCAAATGCTATTTAAAACTTTCACTATATGGAATTACGTTGAATCGTCAGTCTTACAATTTAAAATAATTAAGAAAATGCAGTGTCCTTCATGAACAGGGCACTAATCACCATGAGAGGTGGACCAAGAGTATTTGTAACGTATTTTAGAAAGGCCGAATTTCTTCACGTTCTTTATTATAACTCGATAATGAGTGTTCCTTTCATATAAATAATCTTATAAACACGATGAAAAATGTTTAAAAAGAATATAATAGTAGCACAATAAAAAGACGATTAAAACTAAATATATAGGGCGTGCATATGATCAAAAAGGCTTCGCAAAATTCTTTGGCGCAACCGAGGACAATCTGACCTAACTTTTATTAAGGAAAAATATCCGGCTAGTAGCTTGCTGTTTAAAGTTCTTCAAAAAATTATGCTTTTGAAATATCGGGATAATTGGGTGTAATTTTGGGTCCATCGCAAGCACATGGGTGATCAAAAGGGTGATCAAATGAATGTTACAAGATTTTACCGAGAGCAGAAAAATGTCGAAAAGGGATTAGTGCATGAAAGTAAAATAAATCAATGGTAGTTTTTGCACCAGGACACTCAAGAATTCACCACTTGCCAAAAACCTAAAACGGATAAATGCTTGATCAAAATAGAAGTCTTACATAAGAATAAACTTTTCAAAAGATCCTTTTTTTGAACCAAAGAATGTCCCAGAACCTTAGAACCAAGGAGAGCCTGTAACTATTTAAATTTAGTTGTAGATATGTGTCTTTGGCCTTCTTCAGAGTTTAGATTTAGTTGAGACTGTCTAGATTAAATGATCATAAAGCTAAAAATGTTTCGTGATTTAATTTTTTAAAATCTGTACTTGACTTTTTTGCAAATTAAAATCAAATTAAAATTAAATCTTAATTTGATTCTGTGACAATTATCAAAAGAATGTTGACAAAGGTGTGACCTATGAAATTATGAATCTGAAATGGTTTTGAGGTTTCCCAGGTGTGAATTTTCTAACAACAGGGATTTTATAAATACAATTTTTGGTATTTTCAGTTCAGTCGGTTTTGTTTTTGTAAGTTTGCTACTAATTGAATTTTCCATTTTGAAGACAATCGTTTTATATTATTTTTGACCGACTTTTTAAAATTTATCTGGAATAAGTGGAATAAACAGGTTCAACTTATTTGTTCATTTTTAGTTCAGTTGAAACCATTGTCAATAAAAGTTATTTTTTTAAAATTAAAAACTGTTCATGTGATTTGCTTTTCTTTATTAAAATTAGATAATATTGCAAATTCTGATACTCTGTCTTGTTCAAACGACTTTCTTGACCGTTAGTGGTTGATTTGAGTTCAATCTTAGCTACTGTTTTGTATATAATTCTGGGAATTTAAAATTTCTTAAAACAGATAATTTAGCTAAATTGTTCCTTGTCAATCGTGAATTCCATTATTGTTTTGTTTTTGTTAAGAAATACGAGAATCGAGAATTCGTTCAATATATCCGATGCTAAGAACGTGTGAGCTTTATGGTTTTGCTTATCGACTCAAGTTAAATACGTGTTGTCTCTAAGACTTAAAAACTTGTATAAATTAAATTTTATCAATAATACTACCAATTTAGTTACAAAGCACGTCGATAATGTAAACCGTCTAACCATATACACATACAAGTTCTATGTCCACATTTCATTTCTTTTAGCCATTTTTATAGAGAACACCCATATATTATTTTCACATTTCATGTAGCGTGTAAGGTAATATAATTAAGTCACCTGTGGATGGCATTCGTAATAATTATTAAAATTTATGAATCCCGCGTTTTAATTTATTTGTTGGATTTTGCTGTCGATATATTTGTAACTAGTTAATTTATTGCATGTCGCCTTTCGGAAAACGCGCATTTGCTAAATAATACGTTCTGTCATAATTTTCCAATAGCAACACAATAAGTTCTAGCCTTGAAACCTTCGCGTTCTTGATCAAAATGCACTTTCTTATATCGATTACCAGATGTAAAATGTGGTTAATTGAAAATCGCATTGTTGACGTGGCGCCTGATGCTACGATTTTTATGTTAAAGATTATGATTGCATGATTTCAACAAATATCACAAAAATAGTCCAACATCTAAATATTACTTTAATAAGTGAGCAAAATTGAGGATACTGATCTGGTACATTCCTAACAAAATAACATACAAATTGTGTGTGAAATTTGCTATGTTGACGCTTCAAATCTAAACACCATATAGGGATGAATTGAAACTTTTTTAGATTCGTTTTGTTAACTTATCTATTTTCTGGAAATCGATGAAAAAAAACATTATTTATTTGAAAGATCAACTACACTGTGTTTTTTTATCTTAACTGTTTTATCGATTTGGCGAATTGGGACACGATTTGTTGTGTTTTTATTTACTCATTGTTCATTGATCCAGTCACCCAGTTGTTGATATAAACCATAAATTTAAATATTAATACAAGTACTAACATACAATTTCAAAAAACAATGCAGTTACAAAAATTATAAAAATCTTATTGTTTCTCATTGCATTAGCTATGCAACTCACGTTTTAATCAGTAACTTGTTTTTATTAATGTTACTGACTTAAAAAGTCCCCATTAATGTTACGTGTACGTTTTGACCTTTATTTCAAGAGAAGTGATGGGGATTTGCTAAATTCCAGGAATAAAAACACATATTGATCACCCGCATGTTCAGGGTTGATTACCCTTATGAGCACTCGTGGAAGTATTATTTGAGCGGCAACATGCATACTAAACAGTTTGCTAATCACTTTCTTTTTGTTGTAATTTTCATATAAGATTTTTTATACAACAATGGAAACCGTTCGGTGTATGTGGGATTTCTAAATTTTCAGTCAAAGTTATTTAATTTAATTTTAGTTGCGGTCTTGCGTATTAAGGTATATAGGGGGTAAGTAATTTAAATGAATGCAGTAACATACAGCTGTCCTGTTGAGTATTAATTCTAATTCAGTACCATTCTCCACGCACAGTTCAAATTCGATATAAGTCAGACTTTAAAGTGAAGTTTCACATGGAACTCAAATTAGAATAAACACGTAAAAATATTTATCCGTTAAAAACAAAATGTTTTTTTCCTCGTAAAAATGCCTGAATCCTTAATTAATCTACAGTAAAACTTTAATCTTATTCTACGACTGACGGCAAGTTAATTGCAATTTAATTCTAAGCAGACGTTAAACAGTTGGATAAGTATTTAGATGCAATACTGGAACGTGTAATTATTTCAAATGACAGAGTTACTAGTAAATATTAAGTAATAGTACAATTGCGGTGTTATCTTAGCACGGGCAAATATTCAAGTAGCAGCAATAGCATTGAAAAGGTTATTTTAATACGTTTAGCGTTAAAAAAAGATTGTAGCATAACTATTGAAAATCAGTCTTTTCAAACAAATAAAATAAATAAATAAGCGTTTTGCGATTTTCAATAATGAACTCTTGGATCCAGTAGATCTTGGATAAGTAGATATTCCAAACTAACGATTGACGATGAGTGAAGGGTAAAATAACCCCGTATAAAAATATCTTGACGCCAGCAATTTTCTTTGCATATATGAAATACCTTATTAATTTTTTTAATTGTTGCTTCTATATCGGGTGAATAGAGGCAGTTCCGTGTATCATTTCCGAGATAAATATCGTCTTTTCTCCAGAAAAATATATGTCTCATCTATTCGATTAATCTGGAACTGGGCAAATTGGACTCTTTTAAATGGAAGCTCCTATTATATAGAAGATGCACAAAAACGAATGTCGATGTCTGAACCTCCTTTTGTACGGCAACATTAATTACGAAAACCGTATGTCAATATCTCTTACCATTTAGGAATGTTATTAACAGAAAGGACAAATTTATAAATGGGATGTTCTGTATATTTTTATCATACTTGACTTGGGTTTGAAATGACCTTTCCAAAAGTAAATCACTCTTGATCTTTAGCTCCAGCCTCCTGTAAAATGTGGAACTAAATACTTTTCAAATGTAAGCTATATGCGTCATTGCCGAATAAATAGTATTTGCAGATATTTTAACAAAATTTGCCAGGGATCAATAGTTAGGGAAGACACTTGTTTCGCAATAAAATAATTTTGTCAGTGGCGTGCGTACCTGCACGCTACCGAAATTGATGATAAGGAAAAAATGAAATGATCAATTAATAATGTTAGCAAGAAC